TCTCAGCCTGTAAAATGGGGAAAGATCTCCATACTAACATTATCCTTTCCAAAAGAAAACATTGCACACCTGCCACGATAGCTAATGACTGGGCAATATAGTGGTTGTCATGGCTTAAAAATGCAGGAATGGAAATGGGAAAGAATTCCAAACTCCTAGAAGCAAAAAGCCAAAGAAAGTCAAAAACTTACTGCTGAATATGGTGCAGCTGAAAGGCAATAAAAGATTCCTTAAACTGGGCATAACAACTGGACAAAAGAAAAACAAAACTTCCCAAAATGTGTCTGTTTGGTTCTACTATGGGATCGACTGCTGTCTGCCAGCCTATTTTAAAGTCAACATTTCACAGCAAGAAACTATACAGTAATGTATCACTTCTCGGCAGGCACTTCCTTTCACTGACAAATGGTTCAAGTGGAATGATGGCCTAAACAGAATTACACAGAGGGGGGATGGCGTTGATGAAGAAGGATCTATATGAGTGCATTTATTTATAGATACATACACGTGCACACAGCCTATTGTGTGGACCAGCTTGTTATTGTGGAAATTATCTGCATAAAAATGCAAAGCTACAGGAGATGTTTTAAGTCAGGAAAAAATAATCTGACTGTGATGCTAATTTATTCTGTTCCCAAGGGGGATACCCATAACCCCTTCAATCTCAAAATCACCACCTCTTCCAGTGGCTTTAATGTGTAGTAGTTAGCATCTCTAGTTAGCACTACTAGCTTTACCTTTTCCTAATTTTTCTAAGTAGGAAAACAGAAAACAGATCTTTCCAAAGCTTACCACAGAGCTCCCAACTACAAGCTGAAGCACATTTTTTTTCCTGAGGCAGGGAATAAAATGCACCCTAATGTAAATGGCTGATACAATGCCAATGCACCAATTTATGCTTCAGCTAAATTCTTAACTTAGCACTTATGTAAGACATTAGACTTTTATAGGGCTTGGACCAAGGTATGAATTTCATGGGGAACTCACTAATTTGAGAAAACAACTGAGTGTGCTCTTTGGTATGAGAAACCAGACCACGTATCCATTGGGGAGAGATGAAGGAAGATAAGATTCTATTTTTTCAGCTTTGTGAAATGTTTTTCAGATTTCCTCACTTAAAGTAATCTCAGTATCAACAAAGTTCCAGAATAAAATTTTCAACCTGCTCTCTAGTTAAAATGCTGAGCCTTTCCCCTCCTTAGAAAAAAACACATTGCATACATTTCCAACTATCTCTGTTACAACTCTGCCAATTTTTTGAATGCTTAGAGCTGCACTGCATCTGCTTATTCCCCACCAGGGCTGGTGAATGAATTAGCACTAGAGCTCTGCTATTTTTCTCTTATCCAGTAGTTCCAGTTCTGTGAAACTGCCATTTTAGAAATACATTAATTCAAGGATGTGAAATGTAGCTTAAACTAACAGGTTTTGTAGGTTCTACATTTGAGCCAAAATGCATGCTTAACGAGGACACCAGGAAATTATGCACTTCTTGTCAGAGTTTCATTAATGACTTGGGATTGCAATTTTGGGGTAATCAATATAAAACAGCAAAACCAAGTTTGAGTTTTCAGGAGGTGAGTGCTCTGCGCACCCTCAAAAAAAAATATCTCCATTGGGTCTCCATAATGGAGGCCCTCAAAAAACATTAGTGTGTTTAAATAAAAAAAAGAGCTTTTCCTTTTTTTTTTTTTTTCCTTTTCAGATTATCATAAAATTGCATTTATCCTATGAAATGAAGACATTTCTGAATATTCAGGAATGACTCTGCAGACTGTGATCAAATCTATTTGCAATAAGCTGAAATAATTAAACTTGCAAAAGATCAGCTCCAAAAGTAAAATCTGACTGAGGAGATTTTTTTGCCACACTAATTAACAACAAAGTAGTGGCATTATAGAAATAAGACTACAATCCACCCTGCTACAGAGTCCACCTAACACAGAGTTTAGCCTCTGAAAACATGCCTGTAAAATTTGATCTTTTTATTTGGGAGGATAGTTTCTTTGGATATCTTAAAACGGAGGACCATTGGCAGAGCCTTAGGTATGCCTCCACTTCTGACTGCTAGGAATAATGTAAAAAGATAGAGTTTTAAGGAATTGGAAAGACTTCTATTTTTTTCCCCTCTCATGCACTACCAAATGCATTTAGCTGCCCATTCACTTTAATAAACACACAGCAGAGGATGTAGCTGGGAGTCTTTGTCAAAATCACTGAGGATAGCCACAGTAGTTAATAAAGTTCAGTCCAATTTGGATAGCCCGATGCCAGATTTAATGTAAACACTTAACAACACTGGCATTCGGCTCAACCACCATCACCGTCTGCTGCTACCTGCCAAGTTGTAATCAAATGTCCCCAGTTCTGTTCAAGTCCCTGGCATGACTCCTGTTGCTTCCCATGGCATTCAGCATTGTAGGTGATTCATGCCCTCTGGTCATGTATAGGGGAGGAAAAATCCCGGCTCAGAAAGGAAAACTCCAGACTCTGTGCTGGAGGTAAGAGGATTACCTTCTGTAAACCAGGAAACAGTAATTTAATCCACCTCTAGGTCAGGTACCAAATTATTTTCCCTTACATCAGTGACTCCTGGGAACTTCTTACAAATGCAGCCTTGCTTGGGAGAATTACCAATAGGCCATGCCATATGGTAAACCAATAAAATTGTTCCTCTTCAGAACAGGGCACCATAAAGAACCCCAAATACCCTCAAAGGAGCAGCAGCACCACACTCAGGATGTGATCCCTCACTGCTTCAGCCTCCTCCAGCTGCTCGGCAGAGCTGCTTCCAAACTGTGTGCTGCTTCTCCCTGCACTTGCAGGTGGTGCTGGGGGAGTAGGGCCAGAGCTGGTGCTGGGCTCCCTGCCTCCTGGCCAGCACTGCCTGGGGCTGCTTGCACCAGGAAAGCATGATGGAGGACATTTCATTCCATGTTTCCACTCTGGATCAGGAAACCGTGCGCCATGTTAAGTACTAGGAGATGAGTAGAGTGGGAAGCAGATTTCTCATGCTAATGGGCAAAGTGAAGGGGCTCAGAGGCTCAGACTCTCAACTTCACGTACAAGAATCTCAGCAATTTTGTTTTGTTTTAATCATTTTTCTGTGTTTCCTCGGTGGGAAGGTGGTTAATTACAATTTACATTCAAGCCACCAAAAAATTTAAACAACTCCCAGGCTGAACGTTGCCAAACTATGTCAATTAAAAATAAAATAAATACTAAGGTATTCTTATAAGAAGCACTGTTCAAAAAACCTGTGATCCAAGGAAAACGTGCCAGAAAAATGAAACAATAGGGGAAAATATCTTATTTCCTTCAAGAGCAGAGTAAAAATCCTAGGAATGCATTCAGCCTTTGCTGAGTGCTTCACAGCAACCTCCTTCTGCAGGTCATATTTTCCATTGCTCTCCTAAGTAAGAGGAGACTCCTTGTGTACACGTGGGCCCCAGCACAGCCCCAAGAGGCTTGGCCAGCGATGGGGCATCCACCACCTCTCTGGGCAACCTGTGCCAGTGCCTCACCACCCTGACAATAAAAAACTTCTCCCCTATATCCAATCTAAATCTCCCCTCTTTTAATTGGAAACCATTTCCTGTCACAACAGATCCTGCTAAAGATTTCATCCCCTTTCTTCTTCCATCCCTTTTTAGATACTGACAGGCTGTTATCATGTCTCAACTGAGACATGGGGTTGGTTTACTCACGTATCAGTGAGTAAATGTCTCTGCTTTTTAATTTCCTTAACTTTATTTGGTTCCTGAACTCCACAATGAAATAGCTTTATTTTTTTAAATGTTAGTATTTAAGTTTGGGTTTTCAATTCTACCTGAGCACCCCACTGTGCTTACAGCAAGGTAGTGGAGAGCTGGCTCTCTCAGCAGCTCTACCTTGTGGTGCACGTTGGGCAGGACTCATTTGCATTTGTGCTCCAGCTGTAATTAAGCCTCTAGATAAGGATTTGTTCCTTCAGCTCTGTGCCTCCCTTTTCCAAACTAAAAGGTGCAGTGCTGTCTCCAGCGACCCACCCGGCCCTGCACAGGACGCGCTACTCAAGATCTCCCCAGCCCTGCCCAGCGGCAGTCCCGGACACGGCTGCAAGCAATAGCAGCGCTATGGGGCAGCATCTGCCCCCCTCGCTGTGTGCACGAGAGGAAAGCGCTCTCACCACAACAGGATGTTGCAACGGGTACGCAGCCTTTCCTGGCCAGAGTGAAAGCAACGCATCGCACAACTTGGCGGCGTTGCCTAATGCACGAGCTCTTATGCAGGAGACGGGCCGAAGTGCAGCAGGGCCGACCTGAATTTCTGGTTCTGCTTAGCATTGCTCCTCATCAACGTGCGCGGGGCTGGAAGCAAAGGGGCAGCCCGGAGCGGGGCTGCCGCGAAGAGTGGCGGCTCGGGGAGCCACTTTACATCGGGACGAACAGCTCCAACGGCTGCTAAAGCACTTCACCCCCAAATTAGTCTGAACCAGTGATTCCATAGCTACCTAAGGAAACCTCAGCTTTGATCGCTGCGTCTCACAAAGGGTACCAACCCCTGAACGCAACCCGAGCAAATGCCCCACAGAGAGGTTGCGGGTGCCACTTCTCAGGTGTACAGGCGGCAAGGACGTGGGCAGGAACGGGGCGCTCCCGCTCCCCTTTGCCGGCTGCTCAGGCGGTGGGATTTCTCCCCCTGGGCAGCCGGGGCCGGCGTGGTGCTGCCGGCAGCAAGGACGGCCCGGACCCCGTCCCGCCCGCAGGGGAAGCGGCGGCTGCCAGGGCGGGCGGAGTCGGAAGCACGACAGCACGGGGCGCTGGGGCGGCGCTGGCGGCGGCGGGAGGAGCTCGGCGCTCGGCACTCGGCACTCGGCACAGCGTTAGGGTCGCGGCGCAGCGACGGAGCCGGGCAGCGCCGCCGGCCCCGCAGCAGCAGCAGCAGCAGCAGCAGGAGGAGCCGGAGCCGCCCCCCACCGAGAGCCGGGAGCCGCTGCTCCGGGCGGCCGATGAGCGCCGGGCTGCGTCGCCGCTGCCGCCGCTCCGCGGGTGAATGAACCTGTCCCGGACGGCGACAGCGGCTTCGCCTCGGGCTGCGGCACCAGCCTTCCCCAGGACAAAATGGACGGGTTCGCCGGGAGCCTGGGTGAGCGGCTACGGGCAGCGCGGAGCGGAGGGCGGGACGGAACGGCACGGGAGGGACGGGGCGAGCCTGGCTCCGGGCGGCAGCCCGCCCTCCTGTCGTGGGGCCGCGGACCGGGGACGCGCACCTGCGGCCGGGCCGGGAGCCGCCGAGGGCAGCGCCGGGCTGCTGGCAGCGCCAGCGGGAGCTGGAGCCGGGGGAGACGCGGAGCTGAGCGCGCAACGCCACCCGCTCTGCGGCGGGAGGGGAGGGAAGCGAGTCGGGAGGGAGGGAGAGAGAGAGAGGGAGGGGATGCCAGCGCGAAATCTGGTCAGCTTCAAACCATCTGTTGCGAGAGCTCCGGCTGCACTTGCCTCCTTTGTTCTTTCCTCGCCGTGGGCTTGCTCTTCCCCGGAGTTACTTACTTGGGCTTGTCTGGCTCGTTCTGTTTAATGCCATTTTAATTTTGCTCCGGGTGCGGAGGGACCCCGGACGGCCAGAGCCCGGCGAGACGGCTTCGTTCCCTCTGCTCCCGGGCCGGGCCGGCTCCTGGGCCGCCTTCTCGGGGCACCGCTCTGCTTGGAGCGCGGGGGAACAGCCCCTGCCCGGAGCTCGGCGTGCTGCGCTGCGCCCAAACCCGAAACATCTATCGCTCATCCGCCTCAGTGCACCCGGAGAGCTGACAGCCTGTGCTCTTTTCGGTTTTGCTAAGACGAAGGCAAATTTTCACCACGTAGTTTAGGAGAAATCTTCCAGCAGCCCTTTCTGAATGTTTCAGAGGATAACTCGTATATAGCGTGAAGCCGTCCTAGTTGAAAGTATGACCTGACCTGGTTATTTCTGTATGTAAGAACTGTAGAGTGCGTGCATCCTAATTTGTTTTCGGTGGCACAGCTCTGCCTATTTGGTTTGCAGGACACCGAGCAATGCGCTGTCTACCTGCAGCCCTTCTGTGCCTGCCCCAGTGCTGCTGCACCCGCTGCACCACTCAGCCCCCCTCCATTTTTGGCAGGAGAATAAATCTGCCCCTCTAAAAATGACACGAAGTTAATTTTACAGCACTTGGGTGAAATCTATAATAATAGGGAATAGTTCTCGATTTTCTGGAAAAGCTGACTCGTTTCAATAGTGCTGAGTGTGATCCCAACCTTTAAGGTTTCTGAAATGTCTGCTCCCACGTTTTGGGCACCTGTCCAAACCAAACTGGTGCACCATAATGAACAGTGCACTTCTTTAAAATATACTTTTTTTTGTTTGTTTTTCTTTTCTTACTTTTTAATAAACCTTGGCTCTTGGCCTGATCCACTCTCCTTGCCCAAGTAACTTTTCTGATTATTTCATATCTCCCGATCAAAAAGCAACACGGGGAAGAATTGCGAGTGTTCTATTCTCATTTTTCACCGGGAAAATTGTGCCCGTGGGTGACGTATGCAAATATACCTTGCTTAATATTTATGAACCTCTTTACCCAGTGGTGGAATTGATCACCATATCAAAGAGCACCCGTGTGCCTTTAGCTTGGGGACTACTGCCCCCCATGAGATCCTTATTCAGAAATAACTGTTGGAAGCGGCGGGGGGGCATGGGGGGGTAAAGACCCCAACACTGATTTTGAAATAATGGAGCACTGTTTTCCTGCTTGGAGGCTGCTTTCAGAGCAGCGACTCAGTCAGTGTTGTGCATGGAGGCAATGCCCGCTTGGGGCATCCTGCTCCCTTTACTGAGGGAGGCTCCATCTGGACCTTTAATTTGTTTCACTGTTTGGTCAGGCAGGCTCTGTGATTTTATTAGAATTTAATGAGGATTAAGCTCAGCTCGGTCTTTTAAAGTATATTTCATGATATTGTTAGTTGGCCTTTGAGTTTGCTTCTGGAGTAAGCATCAATGCATGTTGTTTGCAGGATGTCGGCTGGGAGAGCACGTCCAAAGTTTCAGGCTCCAAAATACAGAGCTCTGTGTGCCCCCATGCTCCCAGGTTCAGCTGTGCTGCCTGCTTGGTGTTTTGTCATCACTTCTTGTTTGCTGCTGGTGGTAACAAGCGTGTAACGTGCACAAAGTTGTTTGGAGACTTTTTTTTTAAACATCTCTAATTAAAATCTAATGGCTTGAATTTAATCAACTGTCCGCTAAGCGCCTTTAGGAAGGCCATAAATTAATGTAATTTGGGGTGAAACGTAAAAATTAATTGCCATTATTGTTGGCAAAACTGTGCTATCTCTGTATGTGCATGCTTTACCAGTCAAGCGAGCTTATTAGGAAGCAAGCTGTCTTTTTAATGCCTCCTGTCATCATCTGGAAGGCAAAATGTTATTACAGATTGTGCCCTCCAGCACAGGCAGAAATACCTTTTTGCATGTCTCCTGCAGTCTAAAATACTTCACGCAGCTGTTTTCTTTTGGCTTCCATACTGAAACTTTTATGAGAATAAAGAGATGAAAGAAACCATTTCATATGTAATTTAAAAAATTGTTGTAGTTGTTGATTTAGGATGTGCTTGTGTAGCAATGTGTCAAGAGTGGAGACACCCACTTACTGTAAAGAGTAAAAATAAATAAATAAAATTGGGCATTATTAGTTCAGTTCCACACCTGAAATAAGTTTTGGCTTGCTCTTTTGATAAAACACTAAGTTATTTCACATTTATTGGGCCTTGAGTGCATTTTCACTACTGCTACTAGCAAAGCAGTTACTGAATCCCATTTGTTAGGTCAGGTCTGGCGCAACTCACATCTAAGTGTTTCTAACAGAGCACTCACTGGGAGCTCAATGAATTGAGGGCTTGGTGAATTCTGGCTGTCCATTTTTTCAGATACACCCCTTGAGGTGAGGGAATGTGCTTCTGAATAGGAGCAAGAGATCCAGGGACTCAGACAGGGCTCTTGGGCTTGTGCCTCGTGCCCTTGCCAAGACACAGGCACAGCATGGTGGCTGGTAAGGGTCTGCCAAGTTCTTTTGCTTTGGGGTCCTGATCAAAGCAACCCAGGGGCATCATCTTCATGGGAAAGAAAGCATTATTAGTCCCACCAACAGAAGAAGACCGTGAGGTTTTGGCAAACAAAGTCAGTGTGAGAAATAGTACAACTGAGGCAACCAGCAAATGTTGCCTTGTTTTTACCATCTCTCTTTTTCATGGTGCAGACAGTTGCCTCGATCTCTTCCACTGTCATGCTCCTACCAGAACTGGTGGCCCAGCAGAAGGCTGTAAGACTGCATTGTTGGCAAAACAGTTGGTCATCTAACTTCAATTTTCACATTCCATCCAATATTATAGTCTATAGTCAATTCTTGCCTTCCTGCTTTCCCATGTGTTATAGGAGTTTGTCCATAAGTTGGCTTGTTAGAGGGTTGGAGAGGTTTGCCAGCCCTTATGTTGGCTTTACTGTATTGTGAACCTGCTGAAGTATGGAGAGGGATGCTTTTCTTGGGCCTAAATCTTAACTTTCTGGGACTGATACCTTCTTTGGAGCAACAAATCATAGAACTGTAGAATGGTTTGGGTTAGAAGAGACCTTTAAGACTATCCAGTTGTACCCCCTGCCCTAGACAGGGCTACCCCAGGCCCCATCCAACCTGGTCTTGAGTGCCTCCAGAGATGGGGCACCCAGAGCTTCTCTGGGCAGCTGTGCCACTGCCTCACTGCCCTCTGAGTAAAGGGCATTTCTTCATCACATCTGATGTAAATCTTCCTACTTTTATTTTAAAACTGCGCCCCTTTGTCCTGCCACTGTCTTTCTTCCAGTGCCTCTTGCTGGAAGGTCTGAATACAAAGCATTTGCCACTGTGTTACTTCTCTGGGTCAATTCTCAAGCCGTCCATGTAATACCCCTCTTATTTCTGCAAGATTTCTGGCTATGGTACAAGATCCTTTAAATCCCACTAGATTTAGACTCACAAAGGGTAAGTCGTGGGATGTTCCCCGATGGACAGTTTTCTGCTGTGCTTAGCTGTTGCATTGTTTTCTGTTCTGAGAAAGCTTCAGCTTGTTGAGCTCTGTAACAATAACCAATTGTAACTAAAGATGTGGAAGCCTTCATAAGATGCTTTTAAAAAGAGCACGTCTGTTTCCAAGTTTGTCACCAGAATGATAACAACGCGGCATGAAGAGCGTTATAGGACTGTCTCCAGCAATGAGGTCTGTGGGAGAACAGTAACTTATAAAAATAAACAAAGAGCTCGCAACTTACAAACTGTAACCATTGGTTCTGTGCGGGAGGCTGGGAAGCTTAGAAATCACTCCTCTCCTGAAGTTTCAGGCAAAGTAATTAAGAATTAAAGGAGAAAAAAATGTGGTTCAGTTTATGCCTTTTTTTTTTTTTTTTTTTTTTTTTTTTTTTTTCCTTCCCCCAGAGGAAGAGAAAACAGAAAAGAGTAGTAATGGCTAAGGGGGGTGGCTTTGCTCTTCTGTTGGTGCTACAAGAGGGGAAGCTGGAGAAATGAAATGAAAAAGAGGTTTTCCATATCACGCAGTATCTGCATACTGTTTTTGTCACTGTATGTACTGCTTTTAACTGCAGTACATCTTATCGCAGGAGTGGCATGTAGGTCAGATTCATTTATTTTTTAATTCTCAATTTGCATTAAAGTTTGTTTTAAAGTTGTTGGAAAACACGTCTGTAGCTGTTATCTTGGATAACTACTGAGACTTGTGAGAATGTGCTCCTCCTCTGGATATGGAAAGCCTGTGGTTCCTGTTGAGGCTCTGGCATTGCAAAAGCTCCTTCAGCCCTACAGTGAGAGAGGGAGAGAGACTGGCTGCAGCAGGTTGGAGGGTTTGTCATTTATGTGGGCTAGTTTTGTTTTCTAATGGATGCCCTTTTAGGCTGCAGACAATGAGCTCAACTTGATTCACTGGGCTGTGCTCCTGGGACTGCTGTGTGCTATTGTCAGTGTGCTAGCTCTCTGAGAAACAAAACTTTTGGCAGGACATCGATCTGTCCTGCCTGAGAAGGATGGCTGTGACTGGTACCAGGGTGTGAGGGTGGCCAGGAGGACATTGCTTGCTGTGGGAACTCTCTGCTGGCTCC